CGTTTCCAATTGGCGTCAGTTGACACAGAAGAGAAACGACTGGCGTGCTGTTTTGGCTCGGCCAAATGTTGACATTCTTGAGTCTAGGGGTGGGCAGCTGCCCCATTTATATTTTCTTTTTTTCATGGTTTTATAAGTAGCGTCATTGCCTTTAGGAGACTTCGGCGGAAAATGCAGCTGTAGATGTAGATGTAGCAATAGGTCTACAAATGGAAAACGGCACCTAGGCATTCCCTAATTGCGCAGTCAATGCGTTAATGAAAATCTCACTTTGATTGGATCTAATTCTATCATTCTTGTATTCCAATATTTTACAAATGTAAAGACGTCTCCAACAACAACTTGTGAAGGCAACACTTGCCACCGTTGCGTGCAATAGTGGAGGAGGAGTCAACAAGCACGAGAGCGCATTGCGATATCTTACCACACATTTTTGGTGTTGTAAGTCAATAGAGCAAATAATGAGGCAATTAGTTACGTGTCTTATTTTCCAAAATGGAGATCGCGGAAGAAGAAAAAGAAAAAATTCAACTAGTGATATTCCGCTCGCAGTCGTAGACCAATCAGATATTGTGGCACATCCAGAGAGTACGATAATGCGAGAGAAAGCCAAAAATAAAGAGAGACGAGAAGTACAAATCAGTAAAGTGAGATTTACAGTGCCTACAAAAACAGGTTTCAAGCTTCGGTTGAGGTTCAGTAGGAAAGTGGATTTTGTAAGTGAAGTGTGCATACACAAATAATCAAACATAAGTATCAAACATCGAATGAGAAAATTAGAGTGGATAAAGGTGCACTAACCATAAAGTGAAGTCAGTTAAGAAGTGAGCGCGGACGTAGTAAGAACGAGGTGCGCGTACAGTTATTGCATTCCTTAGAAAACTTTTGCACAAAACCTGTGTGTGTTTAAAGACAATAAAAAAAAAGCAAAAGCAATTGGCTTATTTAAAACATTGTGTTTTTACCAATAAATATATACAAAAAATACAACCATAAAAATGCTAACAATGAATGAACTGGTCGATCTGCGAATGCAGCAGCAGATCGCACATGAATTGTATCGGCAGCAGATTATGCAGCGCATACCTGGTAAGTCTTTTTGACGGCCAATATGTATTTACCGTCGGCATGTATCGCTGCGGAGTCGCAGATATCTAACTATGGATTTGTAATGCTTTTGCAGATCCGTTCCCAGCCATGATGCCATTCCATTTGCAACATCCCATAATTGTGCCACAGCGACCCACATTGCCGGGCGTTGAGGCGAAATTGGAAAACAACGAACTTTGGCAACAGTTCCACAAAATTGGCACCGAAATGATTATAACAAAAACTGGAAGGTAAGTAAATTTTATGTTTTTTAACGATTCGTTTGGCTTAGAAACATAAACATAAAGTATGTATGTACTTATGTATATGAGGAGTATCATTAAAATTTTTTTACTCGATTAATGTACTAAATGATTAATTGCCTGGGAAAGCATGTAAAGTTTTGAATAATTAAAAGAAAAACTCAGTTCGTCTGAGTTGTTCCACGCACAAGCAGAGCTACAACCTGCAACTTTTTTAAAAACTCTAAAGTTTAAAATTTTTGGGTGCAAATGTTAAAGTTTGATGAGTTTTCGGAACTTTTGTACGAAGTTTGAATGTGGATTTATTTGGCGCTGGTTAAATAAAGTGCTAAACTTTAAAAAAAAAAAATATAAACATTAAATAAACAAAAGAAATAAATAATATATATAAAAAAAACTTTTTAATATACAACGCTTTTATAAATGGACTAAAAAGTAAAAAATAATATTTCTCAGTCTCATAGAATTTGTTTTGATAACTTTTGATTTTGGAATTTTAGCAAAAGTTATTATAAACCATTTATGAGATTGAAAATGAAAAGCGTGGGGCGCCTGTAATAGACCTGAATTAATATGAAGGGTAATATATAACATAACGACCGCTTAAAATCGATCTCAAATTTGTACTTTCTCTGTAGAAATTTTAGGTGTATGTTAAGTAGTTTGACTATTGTCAATTAAATCTAAAGCTTTGTATTGCATGCGTCCCACGCTTTTCATTTTCAATCTCATAAATGATTTATAATAACTTTTGCTAAAATTTCAAAATCAAAAATTATCAAAACAAATTCTATGAGACTGAGGAATATTATTTTTTACTTTTTAGTTCATTTATAAAAGCATTGTATATTAAAAAGTTTTTTTTTTTTTAGATTATTTATCTTCTACTTTTTAGTCTTGTCTGTATAATATTTTGCAATAGATATTAAAATAATTCAACGATATTAATAGATTGGTGTACACACATGCATATACATACATACGAGCGCCAATTAATTTCATTTAAAGAAATGGCGTGTCGTCCATTTCCGCTGTAGCGTACGTAACCTCGTCGGTTGAGAGATAGATGTCGCCGTATGCGCTAGACTTTTTTATAAGATCTTTGCAAAGGAAAGGTTTTATAGCAATGAATGGTGTCTGGACACACAACATTGCGGGTTGATAAAAGCGTTGTAAAATAGCCAAAACTAGTCGTAATGTCCCTTGACTAATCAGCTGACCACTAGTGTATATTCCTCTAAAACTGCTTATAAAGTACGACTAATCGATTCCCCGAAGTCTTAAATGTATCACTGAACTGATGCAGGTGGAACGTTTCCAAAAAGTGAAGTTGATTATGTGATTGGTCCATTACCCAAAAGTTTTATGAAAGTGTATATTTACACGCGCCACGGTAACAACTTACTTACTTAACTTTACCGTTAAAAGTTTTGACACTGCCAAGTTTCTTATGCCTACTAAAAACGTATGTGCATACATATGTACGTACCTATATATACATATGTATGTATGTATATGTATACATCATTGAAGCTTATAAACTGTTTTGCAGTTTTCGAACTAAATCTCAAATGTTCAAACAAATTTCAGCCTCACGCATACACACGTACGTACATACATACATTCATAAATGCTCCGGCGGCAAATGCTCGATTGTTCAAGTGTCCTGGCTCTCGTTGCATTAACGAATTTACGTCTCAGATGATCGAAGCGCGTAATGGTCGCAGCGGGGGGTGATCTCGTAAGCCTGTAAGAAAAGGAATTTAAGAGTACTTAAATCTGGGCATATTTGTATATATATACATACATACATACATACGTAGTTACCAAAACGGCACAAAGATTTCACAAACGTTTTTCGAAGCGTT